AATCAAATACAAGGAAAGGTATGAAGAACATAAAGAGGCAGTTTTGAGGATGATCAATGGGGAAGTTATGAACGACCCATTGATGAGTTTATATCCGTGTTGTTGACACCCAAACTATCCTCCAGAGTATGAGTACACACGCATATGGTCAGAGAAGAAGTGGGATGGTCTGATTCCGCTTCCCATGGCCAAGACAGCCTTAAGGGTGCATGTGTGTGGAAAGGCAGTTATGTGGTTATGCAAGAGGGGAGTTGGGAACGACCCTCTGATGGAGTTTGACCATGGATGATCACGTCTTAGGCTTCCTCTTCATCCTGGGAACACACGCAAAGAGTCAGGGTAGAAGAGAGAAGGCCAAAATCCTTTTTCATTTACAAGAACAACCTTGAAGGTCAAGGCACTGCAGAACCGGTTTTCATAAGAGATCAATGGAAGGAACCATTGGCGCGACCCAGGGAGAGATCTTATCAATACAAGAAGTATGTGATAATACTTTATGGAGGTGTTCTTGGGAGTGTCATGGCCGGACATGATGCTGGAAGGCACATGATCTGAGGTTAGTGGTGTTAAATCATTTATGCCAAAGGCATCAACCCATGGGCGAATCCGTGTGGTTTATGGTCTCTGGAAACTTTGGTTACACCCGTTTCTCTTTCTATATCTAAATATATTTCTCTCCTTATAATTCTACCCAAGTTTGGTGACCATAAAGGTCTTCCCATGAACCGTACATGAGTGCCGGTTCAATGGGACTTTTTTGGCCAGATTTGGGTTTACTGATCCCAAACCACTTTTTACTGATTAAAATGGCTTGAAACTTTAAGGATAGATGTTTTAGAATATTTAAGAATTACTGGAAAATACTAGGCACGATTTGGAGTTGATTTGCTCAAAAACCATATTTAAGCCTAGGGCTGTTTTGTCGGGTCATAAGGTTAATGATTTTTCCTGTGGATTCTGACCTTGGATTCGTGTTAGTTATATTTTTGGGTAGTTTAAAAAGCTTAACATTAATTTTTGGAGCACTTTTGAGTTTGGCCAAAATTGGGCAATAGCATAGCCTTAGGCTCGGAATCATGCAATTGTTAGAACCATGTGCTAGGTTATCAGATTAATATGTATTTATTGTGCTTGTGTGGTCTTAGAGCATGTTTTCTTGTTTTTATGCTGGTACCTGAGGGTAAGGCTGGTACTGGGTGGCGTGGACCACAAGTATGGATCTGGTTGTTATTATGCAGGGAAGGCTGTGTGTGATCTGATCATGAGTAAAGGGGGACGACCTGATCCATGGATGATGGATGAAGGTGTTTTCTATGTTTGATCAAAGGATTTACAGGTTAGTCCAGGAGAAGGACTTGCTATCTTATGCTACAAGCTTGAGGAGATGGGTGATGCATTAGCTGAGAGGAGCTAGATGCATTACCATTGCTGTTGAAGACTTCCCAAAGGATACTTGGTCAGTAGGGATGGTTGGTTGAATGAATAAGTATCCAAGGGGAGATGTTTATGCAGGTATAAGAGAGTTGGACGGGTTGGTAGGGAGCTGGGCGCAGCTATCCTGCAGCTTGGTCAGCTGGAAGCAAGTAGATGAAACCTCAGGTGAAGGGGTTCAGTTTAACTAGCTGGATGAGCTAGCTAAACAAGCTAAGGCAGCTGGCCTTAGTTCGTTTTCAGTTAGCTTAGGAGTGTCAGCTCAAAGAGATGAATGAGCTAGCTAAGTCAGCTAAGAGTATGAGTTAGCTAAGTCAGCTAAGAGGATGAGCTAACTAAGATAGCTGGACCGATGAGCTAAACAAGCTCTGTGGATGTGGCAAATGTATGATCTAGCTACTTTCTTTTATATCTAGCTAGAATGGTTTAGGGGTATGGAATCTTGGACTTGTATGACTTGTACCATGTAAGGATCGATCTATAAGCTGGAAGGTAGTTCAGTTAACTGACCAAAGCATAGACAATTAGATTAGACAAGTGTTAGATTGGTTTTAGACCAATGGTTCATATAGTATAATCTGCTGCGTATAAATAGAAATGATCTAAGCTAGGAAATACTAAGGTAGTCTTAAGCTAAGATATAAGTTGGCCCTCACCTATGAGCGATATTATAAATAAAGGGCGAAAATTTAGAGGTTCGGTCCGGAAGAGGACTGAGCGACGTGAGGCTTTGACCGCGGCCTGAGAGGCCGGGATCAGGTCTTACATTACCAGCCAATGACACGAAACTTATGGAGACGACCTCAAGCTTACCAACCAGTGCTGCAATACTTATGGCGACGACCTCAGCCTACCAGCCAGAGATACAATGCTTATGGTGACGAACTCAAGTCTACCAGCCAGCGACGTGACACGACATTCATGGCGACGACCTTGGTACAACCAACAACAGTTACGACATCACACTACGACCATTGACAATCTATGATTATCAACGACCTTGCAACTATCACAATCGAATACCTCGCGACAACAGGTCCTCGCGACCATCGGCGATCTTGGGACCATAGATACGAACTCTTATCCTGACCATCAACAGTCTCCTGACTATCGACGACCTTGCGACGTCAACGACCTCACAACCATCAAAATTTTCGTGACTATTGACGACCTTGAACTCGGTCTTCCTCCACTAGATGAGCTAGAAACGATGATCTTGCCTCAGCAGAGTACTTCATCCAAAACAAAAATAGAGGCGACACAAACTCAACTCACGAAAAGTGTATATACGTACATGACGAGCTCGCTACACCAAGCTCATCGCGGGTCCTCAAAACTAGCTCTGTTTCTGTCTAACGACCAAATGTCCACAATAATCTCTACTTCAAGTCTTGAAATCGTCAATATAACCCAGAAGCTCAACGACGTATTTAAAAAAAAAAAAGCTCGCCTCTCTCATCCCACCAAAAGGGGGGGGGGGGGGCATAATGTATATACATACATATATAACTACCTCACTCCATGTTTCACTTTGTTTTAACCTCCGTTTCTTGTAGTTCTGGATCTACTGTCTAGTCTGATATCTCAGCGCAAATAATCTTATCTATATCATCGGCTGTTGAAAATTTAGATGCCTTTTCCATGAAGAGTAGAATATGAGCGTGTGGCATTCCTCTTTTCTGAAACTCAATCGTGTAAATTACTGAAAAATGAAAAAAGATCATGAACATTAATATAAACAAAAATATTATCTAAAATAATTGTTTCGAAAAAAAAATTTAATATAAACAATATGAAGAAAAGGTGCAAGTAAATTTACATGTCGCAGTGGGACCAAAGAAGGAGCCGTTCTTTTTTTTTCAACTCGCAGATTAGATTATCGAGTTTCATCTTGAATACCCTACACAATATTTCTGGTCTGTCTTCGCTGGTCAGATTTTTTTTTTTTTCAGATACCTAGTAACTTCAGGCCATTTTGGATTGCACGTAAAAGTGATGAAAAGATCTGGAAATCCAAAGTACTTGCACAGAGCTATGGCATCATAGTAGTTCTGCTTCATATACCTTTTTCCTCCAGTGAAAGTTGTTGGGATGAAAATTTGGTTCCCTTGCTCAGCCATCTAAGCTCCACCTCTCGCAGCTGATTTTTGGATTGTGTCGTAACTATCTGACCGAGGCTTTTTCTAATTCAGCCACAAGTAACGCAGTGTCCTCAATTCTATCATTGTATAGGCGTCCACAAGGAACCGATGAAACAATCTGCATGATCTTGTAATTGTAGGTGCTTCCCCCTTCCTTAAAATCCGAAATGCAAAGAACTCACGCATTGTTACTGACTTGCGTGTTCTCTGAGTGGTGTCTTCAAAACCAATATAAATGTTTAATCGAAAGCCATGCTCTTCATATGGAAATAACAGTGGATACTGCAGAGGCAAATACACCGCATGTAATTCACTTATCCTTTGCAACTTTCCACTTGTACTCTCGAGGAAAATATCTCGTGTCTCCATATTTATAACAAAATCTCCAGGTATCAAAGCAGCCACTTCATTTGTAGTCGGAAGATTATGGGTCCGTCCATCAGATTTTCGACCTTCAATCAACCTCATCATGTAACCTGTTGATCCTTCTATGTCGAATCCGTCTCTTGCAGACCTAAACGCCTTAACATGAGGGTTACACTGATCTAAAATATTCTTCAGAATAAGAACTAGTGTTTCTCTTAGTTTCCTAGCACCGTCTCTGTCAGACCTATAAAGTAATTAAAAGAATATAACTTATGAAACTTATATCTTCATATGCAGTGTGTATGATATAAACATAGTAAGTTTAAGAAGTCAAGAAAATTACCTGGCATAAACAACAAGCCTATTTTTGATCTCATTTAGAGTATCAATGATATAAAGCTGGGAAAATTTTGGAGCTTGTCCAGGCTTGGGGACTATATCACCAAAACGGTGGTAGTTCTCACCAGACATTCGGAAAAATTTTTTTCCACAACCATTGTTAATAGAAAGAGAACATCATACCGTAAGCTCGTATAAACTCTCGAAAATGTTTGCTTAACTCGTCTCCTTTGCATAACAAAGCCATCAACTCCATCGGAGGATTTGCAAGACGAGGAAGCAGACACATAGAGTTTCAGAAAATTCTTATAATTCACACACTCGGAGAAAACACAATACATTCCCCTATATATTAAATGAGAAGTCACTTTGGTGACTTCTAATGACATGGCACTCATACAGAGAGTTTCAGAAAATTCTTATAGTTTCCGTTGGTCGATTTTTTCTTTTTTTTTTCAATTTCTTTTAAACATCACCGATCAAATTAGAACATACTAATATACATTTCCAAACAGAGTCAAAACAAAGAGTTCACATTTATGGTTTGTCTATTTTCGAAACCTCTTTTCTCATTTCACAAGGAAAAAAAAATCTCGACCACAAAACCTAGACAAGAGAAGATGTTGGATCTTAGATACTCGATTTGGTTTTACATCGGAGGAATTGTAGAGATCTGATGGAGAAGATCTAAACGAGAGAATAGGAAAGGAGATGAGAGGAGTCATGTCAGATTCTGATAAAGAGAACGAGAATCAGATTCTGGAACCTGGGGAAAAGCTTATTGTTCCACCTTCAATCGATGAGCTTCTTTCTCTCATTGACGTCAGCTCTCTTCATCACCAATCAAAAATCCTTTTTATAATTTAAATTTGATTTGGGGATTATGGTTTCTTGCTTCTCTCCTGATTTCTCGATTCCCAAGTCACCCCCATCGGCTTGCTGTTGAATTAATCTAAAAGATGGTGATGGCAGATTTTTCTCTTACAAGAGAAGGAGAAGCGTAAGAGGAAGAACAAGCCAAGAAACCCATGGAAGAAGTAAAGAGAAAGCACATGTTCAACAAAGTGGTGACTCCAAGCGACGCCAGGAAACTAAACCGGCTCGTGATCCCAAAGCAATACACAGAGAGATACTTCTATTTAGATTCGACCACAAACGAGAAAGGTTTTCTTCTAAACTTCGAAGATCTCTGAGGAAAGTCATGGAGGTTCCGTTACTCTTACTGGAACAGTAGCCAGAGCTATGTCATGGCCGTTTCGTTAAAGACAAAAAGCTATACGCCAAAGATATTGTCTCTTTCTAGAGATATGTTGGAGATTCAGGAAGAGTGGTCGCTTGTTTATTGATTGAAGGAGAAGACCTACAGTCACTGAGCATCAGACATCGTTTGCTCACTTTGCTGCCGGATCTATGTTTCCTAGGTTTACAGTTTTTCCTTTTTCTCGTTTTTCATTTCTCTTTGATATTCATCTATGGTAACTAAAATTCTCTAATTTGGGGGTCTGCAAAAATTGGAGTTTCTTGTGGAAGCTGTTCTGGTCAACTTGATGACATCCTATTTTTCTCACTCTTCCCGAAACTGAAACCTAGACAAGTTGATGACATCCTTTTTTGGGCCCTTTTTCTTGGCTGTGGGTTGAACATGTATCATGTCTGGAGAATGATGCTATATTTTTGGAATCCAGTGAAAAACTTGTCTAACCTGCACCTTAGTCCTGAGAAAGAACTTCTTGAATATTGCCAGTTTACAAGTGGGATCGGGAGATATCAGCGACAAATAAGGATGGTGCCATCTCTGTTGAATTAAAAATTTCACCATATAGAAAGTTCTTGCCTTACAACTTCTGCAACTGATCTAAGATCACAAGTCAGTAAATAATAAGGCGCTTGCAAATGTTGCTGTCAGTTTTTCACTACAGAGATTTCTATTTGTGAATCTACTTATCTCCACGATGCTATAAAGGATTACACCAACTTTCTATTTTAAAGTTTTGGTGGAGCCTGTGATATTTCGTTGAAGTTTTCTTTTAAAACTTGTCTTCTTTGATATAATGTGGATATATTAGTGGAAAAAAGAACTAATATGGTTATTGTATCTGTATACAGGTTCTTGGTGAGTTGATAGAATCCTTTTTGGGGGCTCTTTTCCTCGACTGTGGGTTCAACTTGAATGAACTATTTATGAACTTTTCCTTGAGCTGAACAAAGCCAATTTCACCCAGCAACTAATCCATCTCCTCCTTTAGTGTCACTTAGCTCATTCATCTCATCCATCTCCAGGTTAGTGTCACTCAGTTGGTTCATCTCATCCTTAGTAACTTCAGCTGGTTTCAGCTCCACTTCAGTCTCCTTAGCTGGTTTCAGTTTGTGCTCACTCTATTTCAGCTCGTCCTCAGTCTCACCAGCTGATTTTAGCTCAGCAAGCTCGCCTTTCATCCATCCTGGTTTGTCCTTTGTTGGATATTCAGCTGGCTCGGTCAGGGTTAGATCATGCCCTTCTCCTTTTAAAAGATTTGTCTTCAAATGTGTATCTCCTACATCAAAAGGAAACAAATTAGAAGTAAGAAAAATGACCAAGCAAATAAACATGCAAGCAACACCACATTAAGGTTTTGGAAAGAAACCTCCTTGGAGTTTTGAAGACATTTTGCTCAAGTACATCCATCTCCAAACCTTAGGCTGATAATCATATTGTTTTCTCTCGTTCCTTACACTCCTCTGAGACTGAACCTGTTGTTCCTGGAAACTCAAAACAGAGGCTAGACTTCCAGAATTATTAGGGCAAGACATGTTCTTGTTCATATCATACACCAAACCTTCTTTCCCTAGAACATGAAGCACACGTTTCAGAATATCATGATGCCTATCAAAGTAAGTGTTGTACACCAAAATGGTGTCAAGGCATGTGATAGCATAGTTCGTAAAGAACAATTTCAAAACAGACACAAGTTTCTCAGATTTAGAACACAAAAGATCAAGTTCAACTGAAAATTACTTATCCAATGATCAACATGTTTATCAAAGAAAGTGTTGTAAACTAATATATCCCCAAATCTCAAAATAACACCATTCTGCAAGCATATTTCCAAAACAAACCATGAATTATCAGTTTCACAACAAGAATGAGCTAGTTTCAACTTCGGACAAAAATAAAAATCGGCTTCAGCTTCAAGTGTTTTAGGTTCATTGCTATCCATAAATTCATTCCAAACATGTTGCGATTCAAACAAAACCCCAGTGATCAGTTCATCTTTAGCAGAGCTTATAACCAAACCGTTCTCTGTAATACTAGCAAAAGAATCAAACGATTTTTTAAGACAGAGATCAGGTTGTTGCAGAACAAGCTTGAATGGCCTTTCATGGTGATCAAATCTTTTCTTATGTTTCATAAACTGATCAAGACTCAAAACAAGACTAGGTTTTATGTCACTACCACATGAAAAACGTTTTTGATCAAGAATTTCATCTGGTTCCAATACTTTAAAATAGTTAATCATAGTATCAAAAACAGAATTTGGAACACAAAATTCTTTTACTTTGTGTAGACCAAAACGTTTTACATCATTAGAGCTAGTCATAACAAACATCGCAGGCAAAAAATTATCCAGAAAAAGTTCCTTACAGTGCTCTTGAGAGTCCAAAGAGATTGACTTATCACCAATTTCTGCTTTTGTGCTGTTTGGCTGCGCCAAGACTTCTTTTGGTGGTGAACTCTTTTGTACTTCTTCTTCTGAGTTTTCTTAGGCCTGAGACACTAAAACAAGGCTACTCGGTTGCACCAGTTGAAAACAGGTTAGTTCATCACAAGCACTACTAAAACCGAGTTCATATTGAGAAGATACAAGAGAAAACACATGTTTAGTCTCAGATTCCTTTGTTACCTTAGACAGATCGGTTTTTAGCTCTTGGATAACCTGCTCCTGCTTGCTACAACTCCTTGTGTCAGCAACTCTTGAGAAATGACGTGTGCTCTGTCTTTTTTTTGTCCTTCTCTAATTTCTTGAATATCTGGTTACACATATCAGTGATGTTTAATTGTTTATATAAGAGGATTGCCATTTGTAAGAGGATTACCATTTATACAATGTAATCTATGATATTTAATTGTGTATATAAATAAATTATGTTCATTCATCTGTATTTCCAGATGTCAATAATATATTTGGAAACATAGATTATATTAGGTAATTCTGAGATTATTTTCCTTTCAAAATTTTTATTTAAATAAATAAAAAAAATAAAAAATCCATCAACCAACTATAACGATTAAGTACAAAGCTCTCCTATGAGTGACACGTCGGCATAATTCACTTAAGTGACTTCTCAATTAATATATAGGAGGATGTATTAAAACATAAAAATATTTTTATCATTTCTAAAAGTGATAAGTCATCTATGATATGACACTGTCCCTGGAAAATGATTAGAATTTTTTAAAATTATATATTGGATCGTTTTGCATTTATTTTTCACATTTTTAGAATATATATACTGAATGAATGAGTTTAATTAATATTTTTATGTTTAAATTAATTTTTGTTTCAGAAATCTATGATTTATTGTATTTACTACTAATACTAGTATTATCTCCCATGCTAAAGCACGGGTCAATTCCATTGTACTCCAAATTATATGATTATAAAACTGTAATGACTATACAATTACATTATTATTTTAGATATGTATCTTCTAAAACTTCTTTGTAAGAGAATTCAATATTTAGTAAAAATTATCAATTCCATTGTACTCCAAATTATATAATTATAAAACTGTGACAATAAAATTACATTATTATTTTAGATATGTATCTTATAAAACTTCTTTGTAAGAGAATTCAATATTTAGTAAAAATTAGCAATTTCATTGTACTCCAAATTATATGATTATAAAACTGTAATGACTATAAAATTACATTATTATGTTAGATACGTATCTTCTAAAACTTCTTTGTAAAGAATTCAATATTTAGTAAAAATTATAAGTTTTATGGAAATAAAGGTTGATACGAAGGAACTTTGTGAAATTGGAAAGTATATGTTACATAAACTTAAAAGTAGATGCGTTCAAATATAGTGATTGGAAACACTATTCTTTTAAGAAATATATACATATTAGATGTTTCAAGCTTCTTTTTACAAAAAAAAAAGTGAGATGTGTACAGAAATAAAATATGTTATGACATACTAAATTTGAATAATTCGTTTTTATGTTTGTAAATAATACTTTAAAAATAAAAAATCTCTTTGTTTTGATGTAATAAACATAAAACAGTAAAATTATTGACCAAGGAGAAAAAAGAAAAAGGAAAGTAGGGAAATAAACATTGAAAATGTGATATCGTCTGAAAACTAAGGTAAATATTTTTTAAAAGGCTAAACCAACAGAAATATAAAAATAAATTAAAAAAATAAAATAAAAACCCAATAGAAGAATCAATTTATGTTTTATATCTCCTTGCTATATAAGAAATGTACAAAAAGCTGATAGTTTGAACTATTTAAACTGATTTTTAAATATAAATATGTTTACCTTTTTCTAAAAGTTGAGAGTAACTTCTCTTTTAGAAAACTGATGTCTCATAAGAGGAACTGAAAGAGATATAAAACATAAGAGGAACTGAAAGAGATATAATTAATTTTAAGAGTAATATATTACAATTACAAGAACAAAACATCATGGAGTAAAATATATTCAACAAGTTAATTAAGATCAATGTAAATATTCTTAACCATATTATCTTTATATGTTTATGGTTAATTAATTATCTGTGTGAATATATACACATCTCCTGATAAAATAAAGTAAAATTATACATGTCATTTTAGTTATATATGATAGATTTTTTTATATAATGAAATTTGACTTTAAAAGATATTGGTTTTATTTGTAAGGGAAAATGGTTTCATGTGTAGCATGGGGTCAATACTAGTATTTTTTAAAAGGCTAAACCAACAGAAATATAAAAAGCAATTAAAAAAGGGCTTATTTGTGAAATAGCCATAAAGAAAAAGAAAATTAGATTTTGAAAGAGAGGGAAGAGAGAGATAGGAAGAGGATGGAAGAAAGAGAAGGGGTATTTGGTTAGTTACCTAATTTATTTTTTTGTGTAGCTATGAGATGCAATTTCCCATTAAAAAAATAAAATAAAAACCCAATAGAATAATCAATTTATGTTTTAAACTGATTTTTAAATATAAATATGTTTACCTTTTTCTAAAAGTTGAGAGTAACTTC